GTGCTGGCGGGTCCGCATGCGTATGGGCAGGCCGCTGGCGGAAGTGCTGGCGGGCTCGCTGGTGCGCTGGCGGGTCCGCTGGATTGCTCGCTGGCAGGCACGCAGGGCGCGGGCTTCCCCCACTGGCCGACACCCCACCAGGGGCTCCAAACCTCTGCCTTCTCCCCCCCACCCGCCACCTCCCCGCACTGCATAAGCAGGCGCGGGCAATGGAGGCGACGTGGGGGGAAAGAAATCGGGACGGGGAAAGGGTCGCGACGATCGCCACGGGTGCCGCTCCCCCGCCAAATCCTCCCCACCCGCCACCCGCCACCTCCCCGCACGGCAGAGATAGGCGCGGACAGAGAGAGCGATGTGGGGACAAGGGCGCGACAAGGTAGCTGGCGGACGGAGTGACTACGGAGCAGCTCGACGGGCAGACGACGGGGTAGCGCGATGCGGGGGGGCGCGTCCAGATCGCCGTCGAAATCTTAGTTGGGGATGACGTGACCGTCGCAACTAAGGGCGCGACGAAGGGCGTGACGAAGGACGTGACAAGCGCCATAAGCGGAGAAATCGGTGGGCCCATTGAAAGCTAGGTTGAGGAGCGTAGTTGCTCTAAAACCATCTAGAAAGTAGTTCTAGACTTGGTAGCCTAGGAGATTAAGTTACGAGAATGTTGGCGAGAATATTTGGAAGGAGGTGTTTCACTAAGAGAACAAGGTACAAGAAATAGGAGCGAGAGATGGCAAAGGGTGCACCACCTACAGGGACTATGACAATAACTACACTACAGCTAGAACTACATGCAGTTATACAGAAATATATATAAAAATATATTATGACAGAAGTATGTTGTACCGTCAGTGCTACATTTGACACTATCCTGGCATATCAGTGCTACATTTCATATAATCATGTGGACTTGTTTGTTTTCTTCTAGCTGGCATGTTTTACTTAATACAACACTCACTCACAGACACTCAAGCAGAACAAACAATGTTGTCAAATTGCAATCATTATAAAAAAACAAACATTTCAATACGCATCATCTTCCTCCTCCACATCATCTTCACCAGCATCACTGTCCCCCCCACTGTCCGCATGTGCATCATCATAATTAGCGTGGTCGCGCTTCTCTGCAAGTGCCCCCCGGATCACCGCGCCACTCCTCCTCGATACATCCACCTTTGCTGCCTTGCGCTTGGTGGGTCGCCTCTTCTTGGTGTTGCGCCACAGTGCCACAACTGTACTCCACTCCATGTCGTACTCTAATCGACTCAGCGTCATGAGGTCGCCCAGCTTCGCGTCGCACAAGCTGGTCCGCAGCCAGCTCTTGATCACATTTTGGCGCGAGAATCCTCGCTTGCACTCCACCGTGCTGAGCGGCAACACTGCCACTACCACCCACAGCCGCACCAGGTTCGGATAAGTCCTATGCCAGTCCTCAGTTGACAAGATCGCTCGCAACCCCGCATGGAAGGGCTGCTCCTCCTTTGGCGCCCCGGACAGCACATACAGAAACGTCCACATCTCCTTCCGCACTTCGCGCTTGTTGACGCCTGTTTGGTGGGGTGATATGGGAACATAAAAGAGCAGAATCAACAACGGCGGTTATAAGGGGGACAATACACACTCCGATGTTAATGGGCGTCCAGATCTGATAACTCACCAGGCAGGATATCATCTCTGTCGCGAGCATGGAACATCACCTCCAGCTTCTCCATGTGTTCTCTGCACTCCGCGTCCCTCGCCTCTTTCCCACGCGGCCAGGATCTTGGCATGAACAGCTTCGCGGCGTTGAGATTCGACAATTCGCCAAGCCGAAAGTCGATGTTGTAAAGCAGCTCCATCGCAAACGAGCGACATGTCCGAATGCAAGATGGCAGGTCACCAGGGGTCGCCGTGTAGCCGGGAATCGTCTCCTCGTGCAGGGTGAACTCATGCTCCCTCGGCTGCCAATCGGTGTCCACTATCTGCACTGTCACACGCCTTCTGCATGGTGCACTGTGGCGAGCAAGGAACGGCGACAGTAAAGCGCTCGCCCCAGCACCGAAATGTTGCCCACAGTCGAAGTAGCGCTCCCTGATGAAGAATTCGGTCCGCCTCAACTGGGAGTGAACCACCGCCAAGTCCACCTGTGGTCGGGTTTAGGAGCAGGGAGGATACAGGAGAGAAAGGTTCCGTGAGCAACAAACCTCATGAATTGAAATCATTGAAGCAGCTCTCAACAATACCTCGAGCCTCTGGAAGAGAAGGTTGAGCATGTTCAGCTCGACGTGTACACAAAGAAGCGGAACTTCAGGCTGGTGACCATGTGGTAACTAGTTGGATCCAGCAGCTCAAGAAAAACCACCACCACCGGTAGCACCTTCACGAACCGAGCTATCGCGTCACCGCGGCTTAACCACCGAACGGCGTGGATTCCTTGCATTTCCAGGTTCGTTCGGGTGAACACGACCTGAAGCTCCTTGAATGCCGCGTGCGAGGTGCTGCTGCGGCCGAGATGCTCCGCCAATGCACGGATGAGGGCGTCAACCACAGCAAGCTCCAGGAGCGCTTCCGCAGAATCTTTAGCGTCTAAAGCCTCCCTGCATAACATAAAGCAACAAAAACCGGCGTCAGACTCGAAGTTAAAACAACACCAGCAGACTGACACTACCCACCTGTGGGCAATGCAGTGGCACGAAACCAGGTGTGGGATGCAGAGTCGAAGTCGGCCGGTCAGACCGTTGGTTCCGCCGAGCATGACTGGAGCGCCGTCGGTGCTAATCCTTGCGATCTTGCCAAGGGGGAGGCTTATGCTGTTGAGGAAACCAACAAGCACTGCATACAGGGATCCTGCATCGCATTTGTCAACAGTCAATAACATTAAAAACTCAGTGGTAACCTCGTTTTCGCGCAAAAAATTGATGAAAACAATCATGTGCTTCCCCCGCACGCGGTCAGTACTCTCATCACAGCTCAAGCCAATGAAGGGGCTTGAGTCTATGAACTCGTGCTGCTTCGCACGAAGATATCTCGCTGTTGCCGACACTAGTTCCTAGAATCCGTGCCTGCGAATGCACGGAGAGTGAAACAATGTGTTAGTATACACCTCCTGGTGAAATTCACAAGAACTAAACTTTTTTTTTTCACTTCTGAAAATTATCGATGCTTTGGGAATAACAACGCTTACTTACGTTGTGTAATACGCGCCATAGCCGTTCTTCGGGAATCCAGGCGTCCCACGGGATGCAAGGTGCCGGACGAGTTGCACCCACATCTCTATGGGTGCGTCGGTCTTTGTAATGAAGAGCATAGTGTCCAGCAGCGCCTCCACAGCATCGTGCTCCACGTCACGTGCTTTCGGGCAATCAAGGATGCGATGCTGTCCGGTCGCTTTTGCCAACACCAGCTCCTGGTTGCGGATGGCGTCCCTGTGCTTCGTGGTCCTTTGATGACGTTGCATGGCTTGTGTCAGCACATCCAGGGCCCCCTCGCCTTTCCCGAAGTTGGTTCCTGTGCCTCCATATTCCATACACACCGTACACTTCATGGATGGGAATCCATAAGAAGTCTGACAAATAATTAGCTACGGGAAGTCATCGTTCCATCGTCTTTTAAACATAAGTAAAGCTTCCTTGTATTTTTCCTCAGCGATATCAGGAAGTTCGGTACATCAGACAACACTGCGGTCCTTTCAGTATCCATGCAAGATCACGAACCGACCACCGAACCTACTGTGCTTGTTGAAACCGCCGCCACTGGTTTGTCTGGTGGTACCGTTGCGCGGAGACCTTCTTGCTCGGAGGTCCTTTCCGGGTTGTCCCAGCAGCCTTAGAGCATTCCCCTTGCGTGCGAATCAGCGGTGGCAGGTGCTCGTTGTCAGCCACGACCGGTGCAGCTGTCGCGGGAGAAGGCACGGGTGGCTGGGACGGCGATCGGTTTGTTCTGGTGTTGGGAGAGGCGGCGGTGGAGGCTGAATGGGCCTACTACGCAAAAAATCCAGACTCGTCAACCATACGGGCCCGACCGTAGGATTAGGCATGGCGGGGGCTTCACCATCGCCCGCCGGCGATGGGTCAGCCATGGGCGGTCAGCATTGGAAGAAGTTAAGCAGAGTTACGGCGTCGAGCAGCTAGCAAAATTACGGGGAAAAAGAGGGATTATTGGTGTTCTGGCTGGGGTTTGGTTGAGAGTCAACAGCAGGCTGGAGAGGATGGTGGAAGAGACAGAACATCACAAAGGTTCCCGAACCTTCCCAACCCCAGACACATGGCGCCACGACCAAAGGAGTCATGTGCTGGCAAGGCACGCTTGACTCCAAAACCTTCAGCAGCGCCGCTGTGGCATGGCGCCGCGTGAAGTTCAGTTGATGGGGACGAGGATGCGGGGGTGGGTTGGATAAGGGTCATGTTTCATGGCTAGGTGGGAAGCACGTGCCAACAGCATTTTGCAAAGTTGGCCGTGCTTTTCCCACGTGTGATTGGTAGGTATTACAGCAATACTGTGTTTCCTACAGCGTTATCCTGTGTACAGTACGCAAATTCACCGTTATACTGATTTTACAGGACAAACATTTCCCTTACGCTGTTTTTCCAGGAGAACCCCCAAACACCTATCCTGAATTCAGGAGAATCAGGATAAATTATCCTGATAACATAGGCCCTGGTCAGGCGCTTCAAGATTTCACTGCTTCAGTTTCTAGTGCCGACGGGGAGGTGGGGCAGGGGGCGGAGCAGGAGAAACCTTCCTCAGGGGAAGCCTGCCAAACAACTTCCTTGCTGGTTCTCCCTCTCCTGCACCCTGTGCTACTACTAGCACTGCTGGTACTGCTGCGTCTGCTGCTGTTATGCCTTTTCCTGCTGCTGCTGACACAGGAGGGGGTGAGGGAGGCCCCGCAATGCCACTTGCGTGCAGTGAATTCGTTTTCACTGTAGTCATCATCATTTCCATCCTCGTTATAAGCACCCCCCATACTCGCAGTGCTACTGCTGGGAATGTACGACTCGAATCTTCTGCTGCCATCAGTGCCGCTGCTACTGCTGCTGCTGCTGCTCCCTGTGCTGGGGGCGTAGAAGCTTGGATCGAAAAACGGGTCCACAGCAGAAAAGGATGGTGCCGCCCAGCGGGGAGACTGACAAGGGCGGCAGATACGCGGTGGTGGCAGAGCAACCTCTGTGGGTGGGGTGGCAAAAGAGAGAAGGGAAAGGGAGAGAAGAGGTGTGGGTAAGGAAAGGGATAGGGAGAAATGAGGTGTGGCTTCTGAGATTTCTCAAAACAGAGTCAAAGGAAAGGGAACGGCAGAGACAAGGTGGTTGCAGAGCAACCTCTGTGAGTGGGTGGAAAGGGAGGAAGGGGAAAGGGCATGAGAGGGGGAGAGGAATAGGAAAGAGAGAGATGAGGTGTGGATGAGGAGTGAGAGGGAAAGAAAAAAACTGGCTGTACAGAATTCTGAAAAATCAACTTGTCTGAACGAGAGAGATGAGGTGTGCTGAAGAGTGAGAAGGGGAGGTGAGAAGCTGTGCTTAGAAATCTTAAAAATTCAGAGGGTGAAGAGTGAGTGAGAGGGAGAGGAGAGGGGTTCAAAAAGAGACTATGAAAGATGGAGGAAAGGACTCACGAGTCTGCCGTGCAAGGGGTGCTGGTGCTGTTATCAAAGTCCAATACAGCCAGCCCTCTGCCAGTGCTGTTCGCTCCAATATCCAACTGGAGTCTCGCCTTCCCCTCTCCACACACATACTCATAAACCCTCGTATCATCCACGGAATCGCACGGCACTGTAGGCACGTTCGTTATCCACTTGCTTTGCGAATTCGGCGAGTCGATGATTAGGGTAACCGCGCCGTAGCATCCCTGAAAGTCAAACATCAACAGCCGCATGCTACTCGGGTAAAAGTATTTGTTAGTCTCTGCCGGGACCACCTCTATCCGGTAAGTATACCCGGCTAAAAGCGACGCGGTTAAGTACCGAAGTTTTTTCCCCGTGCCTGCCGGTCTGCTGTTCAGGTCATCGTTATCCGTTCCGTACGCAAAAAACTCAGTTCCGTCGTCCGTTCGGGTGATTTTCATGTAGGAGTAGGGCCGGAGGACCCTGCTCGGTAGATTCGCCATCCCGTTCGGTCGAATCCCGTACTCGTCGTATTGAAACCCGACCGACCGGTAGCAGACAGACGTGCAGGAATAGGCCGAAAAGGCGCTCGTAAATTTGCAGTTTGCCACCAGGACGGCGGCAGGCGGCAGGATGGGGTCGTAGTTGGCAACGGCGTAACCTGATTGGCCGAGAAGTGACCCGTCCAGATCTCGGATGGCGTAGAATCGCGCCACGAGGCCTCCCCGGGGGAGGATGCCGGAGGACTGATGAGAGAGAGAGGGGGAGGGAAAGGGAGAAGTGGGGGGATGGGGGGAGAAGGGAAATGGCACACAAAGAGACAGACAGGGTGTAAGGAGCGCGCCAGTAAGGTCCCCCCGGGGCGGCGTGCCTGAGGACTGACGAGAGAAAGGGAAGGAAGGAGAGAGAGGGAGGAACAGAAAGGGTCTTGGAAATGAGGGAAAGGGAGGGAGCAAGGGAGGGAGGGGAGAGAGAGAGGGGAACAATCCTTGCTTGATATTAGACTAGAATGACTCACCTTGCATACCTGCCATTCGGCATGAACTCGTTTGAGCAATCAATATCAGGACCATTTGAGGGGAAGGAGATGGGAAAGAGGCGGAGCAAGCAACTTACGGGATTGGGTGTGGCCCAGAACTTGTTGGTCCCCGAACCAAACACAAGTCCCTGCAGAAAGAGCGGGACGAGCAGAGGACAAGGAAATAGATGAGAGCAGAAAAGAGGAGAGGAGAAGAGAGGAGAGGAGAGGAGAGGAGAGGAGAGGAGAGGAGAGGCGAGGAGAGGAGAGGAGAGGGGAGGGGAGGGGAGGAGAGGAGAGGAGATAATAGGAGAGGGTGAGACATCGAGGTTAAGACTCCGCATTTTCTCATTCATGGTGTGTGAACGGAAGTGGGTATTGTGAATTTCTAACAACCACTAGAGGGTGAGACATCGAGGGTACGAACTCGCATCTTCTCACTCATGCTGTGTGAACGCAAGCGAGAAGTTTTTTTCTAGGGTTTGGGGTTATGAAGAGTGATACAGTACTGAAATAAAGAGCAGGACAGAAGTTGCTTGGCATGGATTATTATAGCAAACATGACTGTAACGAGCAGTACCTTAACGAACATGGCAGTGTTCCAATATCCGCCCGCCCTGTGGGCAATAAGAGTGATCCCAAAGCTGCTGCTGCTGCACGTGCCAAAGCGGTGGAAGCTGGGGAAGGGAGAAAGGGCGGAGGGCAGGGGAGGGGAAGGGAGGGATGGAGGGAGAAGCTAAAGTGAAAAAGGGGGGGAGGAGGAACACGAGGAGGAAAAAAATACTATCCCTTTCACGTGCATTTAGCTGCACCAAGAGTACAGAGTGTTTTAAAAAAAAAAAGTGAGAATTCTCAAATAAATGATTGCTCGAGAATTTTGAAAGAAATTATTGCTGAGAATACTGAAGAAATTAGTGTTGATCAATGCACAAGGTATTTAGCTGCAGGAAAGAGGCAAAATGGACAATGGCGTCTGGATACAAGATTCACAAGTTTGGACAATTTCAGGAGTGCAGTTTGTAATGGGTGATACATTCAATACCTAATAACGAGTACAAGTGGACCTGTATGGGTTGCTCTGACTCGGCGTGAATCTCACCGGTAATGCAGTAACTTGTAGCGAGTACAGGAGGGCTTACGAGCTGTCCTGTATGCCGTTAGGGAAGAGGTTGTTCCCCGGGTTGCTCTGACTCCGCTTGATCTCAAGCGTTTCCCTGTGACGAGTGACTGAGTACCTTATAACGAGTACAAGAGGACTCACGAGCTATCTTGGATGCCGTTAGGAAACAGGTTGTCCCCCGGGTTGCTCTGACTCATCGTGACTCCCACAGGCGCCTCAAATGTCCCAACTTTCTCCCCAAGCGTTACTATAGGGTCAGTGCCCCCATCTCCTGTCCCAGGCTCCACCGCTGTCCCCCGGTCCTGAAACGCCTTGTTATAAGGATCCCCCTTATTGGTATAAGCCGGAGACGTGTAGCTTCCATTGCTGCTGCAGCTGCTGCTGTTGTTGGTACTGGCCAGAACATCGAAGTAGAGATCGAGAGGGCCCAGAGAGGCTTGTAGAGTGAAGGGCTCCCACAGAGTGGTGGGGCCGGCTGGGACATTGGCATCAGCAAGAGCTGCTGCTGCTACAGGCTTGGCTTGCTGAGTGGAGGCTCTGTGGGGGAAAGAGGAGGAAGGTGGGGTGAGAAAGGAGAGGGAGTGGGGGAGAGGGGGGGGAAAGAAGGGGAATGGGGAGGGGAAGGGGTGGGGGAAGAGAGGGAGGAGGGGATGAATCCGCTGTATCAGCCAGCGCTGCTCCTGCTCATACTCACTCACTTACTCACATCGAAAAAGAAGAATAAAAAACCTGGTTCGCAGGACTCACGGGCGAGTGGATGAGGAATCGGATCAGCATTCGCGTTGACTCAAATGGCACCTGGTGAGACTAACAGGCAGGATGGAATGGATGGGCCGCTCACGGGCAGGAAGAGGAGAAGGAGCGGCCACTCACACACTCTTGTACTGCCCACAGTCACAGAGCCACTCACGGGCAGGAAGAGGAGGTTCGGCCGATGAAGCGGCAGCCCTTGGCTTGCACGCCGGCATTGCGGCTCAAGTCGATGCCGATTCCATTGTCCAGAAACACCCCGTTCTCCACTATCAGCCGCTTGCTGTTGAAAAAGAAAATGCTGCAGAGGGGAGGGATCGGGGTGGGGGGATAAGATTATTGAGCGAATGAAACACCCTCTATTCCACTAGCCCTCGCTGTTGAAAAAGAAGATGTTGCATTAAAGGGGAACAATACGAAAAAAGAAGGGGAAAATCAGAATAGTATGGGTATCATTAGGGTGTGAGAGAGGGATGACAAGGATGCGAGGGACAAGTAAGCTGTAAAGGAAACGAAGTGGAAGAAAAAATAGACAAGGAAGCTCAACTACCCCACTTTGTTTTCGGCATGAGGAGCAATAGATGCCAACTCACTCACCCTGCCTTGTTGCGGTAAATGAGGAAATTCTTAAGGGAGACGCGTGGATTCTGGATGGCAGATGGGTATCGGGGCCGCGACCCATGGGGGTAGGTGCGGAAGCCAAAGAGGGCGTTGGAGTGAGCGTGGTTGCCGTCCCACGTGCCCCAGTTGTAATAGAAGGGTATTGATGACCCGATTTTCGGAAGCAGCCGCGACAGCCCTCTCATGTATACGTTCGCTTCTAGCCAGAATCTGTTTAAAGAACACACAGGGAAAGAAGGAGGAGGGGGGGGGGGGGGGAGGGGGAGAGAGAGAAGGTGCAGGAAAAAGGAGAAGTGAAGAAGAGAATCACAAGGTTGGGGAAGGTACGAGGGAGGGCTTGGTTACCAACAAAATATTGACCAGAAACAAAGGGGTGGGGCGCATGGAGAGGGGGGAAGAGTGGGGAGAGGAGACGGTGGGGAGAAGAGGGAGAATGAAGAAGGGGAGCGGAGAGGTTGGAGGAGAGTGGAGAGGTGGAAAGGGAGCGGAGAGGGGGAAGGGGAGCAGAGAGGGGGAAGCAGAACAGAGAGGGGAAAGGGGAGTAGAGGGAAAGGGGAGCAAAGAGGGGGAAGGGGAGCAGAGACCGGGAAGGGAAGAGGAGTGGGGGGAAAGGAAGGAGAGCGGAGGGGGATGGGAGGGGATGGGAGGGGAGGGGAGGGGAAAGGAGGCTCACCCGGAATCCTCGGATCCTGCAGCAACGTTGTCAATGAAGCTGCTGAATGGTGTCGCGAGCCAAAAAGTTGTCGGCTGCCTGTCAGTTTGCAAGTCCAACCGGTTGGAACTTGCCGGCGGAATAACAAGGTCAACTTTCCTCGCGTTGATCCCAAGGTTTCGCCGAAACAAATTTCGCATTTCAGATCCCTCCTCGAGCAAATAGCAGTGACCCTTGGTTTCGTACGAAATGTTCTCCTCGATCGTCATGTTACCCGTCGCGTGAATCACCATGCATTGCTGCTTCGTGAAAACGATCGCGTTTTTTCGCACAATGTGGTTCTGCCCTTGTTGTCCGCAGGCATGGAAATGCAAGGGGTATTTACCCAGCGTGCCCTGGTTTCCGAGGGCACGGAATTGCACGCCCACGATATGTTGGGCTGTCGGAGTCATATAAACCATGAAGTTTCCACCTGGGAAAAGCGGGATGGACGGTGGAAGGAAAGGCGACGCCCACAATCAGAGTTTAGTTACAAAGTTTACGATTTCTATCGATGGCCGATCAAGGGCACCCATATTAATTTCTGTACCCAAAAAAAAAGTAGAGAACTTTCTGAACCGAGGGGAAAACTGTGCCTAGTGAGTGATCACCCTCTCATCTCACCATCATAGTTATTTGGCGCAGGCTCGTCACTCCCCGTGATCACGATGTGCCGACCCAACAGCGCGACTTCTCCGTAAATCCCCACCGTCCCTCCCACCCCATCCGATATCTCCTCGCCGTCGTGCTGATTCTTAAGCGGAGTCCTTAAATTTATTTGGTACCGGCCGTCGCTCTTCCCGGGTGCCGACGCGGGCGTGACGACCGACACGGACGCGATGATGTGGTGCTCCGCGTCGTTGAGATCTGCTGACGTGGATGCCAGCGCGATCGTCATCCCCGGCGCCCAGCGTGTCACGTCCGTGTCCACGTAGATCGCACGCGCGCTCGCGATGGCCGTCTCAGTAAGGCGCACCCACGAGGGCGTGTTGCTGCCGCCCGGCATGCCGTAAAGCGCCACTTGCCCGCCCACCTGCGCAGGGGAGGAGGAGGAGCGGGAAAAGGGGAAGGAAGGGAGGAGGGTAAGGCTGGTCGGCTGTTTAGGGAGAGGGAATAATGGGGCTTTAAGTATTAAGCCCATATATTACTGTAGGAACAAATGGATCGCCCTTATCAGGGCCGGTGGTACTTGAGCTGATGCGGCTTGCGAGTTGACTCAGCAGTCATCTCATTACAGTCACATTCGCGGTACCACTGCTTCTGCTACTCCTACCACTCACCACGGCGAACGTCTTGTGCCCCATGTTGCGCGGATTTTCCTTATCCGCGGGGCTCTGGTACTTGAGCTCGTACGGCTTGCGCTTGCCCTTGAAGTTTTGGAACAGCGTGAACGTCAAGCGCCCCGCGAAATGCATATTCGGCTCGCCCGCCGTCAGGCGCCCGAACACCATGATGTAGTTCGCGCGCACGTGAATCCTTGGGAGCTTCGGGGAGTCGCGAATTCTAGGAATCGGGGAAACAGCAGGGGAGGGAGGGGGAGGGAGAGGGAAAGGGTGAGCACGTGGCTGTTTGGCTCGGAACACCATGACGGTTCGGAAGGCTGGGGTCACGGAAGCGTCGAGTCGCCAGAAGCGAACTAAACGAGATAATATATCACAAAACATCATGATGATAATGCACCAAACCGGCGGTTCTTGTCTCACAGATGGAAGCAGTGAGGCAACATTCGAACGAACCCTGAATTTTGCTCTAATCCCATACTCACTTCAACCAACCCTTGATTCGAAGTCGTCGCACGCTGATATTGGGTACATCCAGGACCACGGCCACGCCGCACGGAATCGTGACGTCAGCCCATCGCTGCAGCCCGCGACCCGGCACTCCTAGAACGCTCGCCTTAGGTCCCCACGTTGTCCAATCGCTCCAGCGTTTAAAGCTGCCGGCAGGCGGCTCGTTCATAAGCTTTCCGCATGCGGGGCGGTACGCATCTGTGGCTCGGAACGCCGCGGCGCGGACTAGCGACACGTGGCAGCATGCGACGAGGGCGATGAACGATGCGACGAGGAAAGGGGAGAATGAAGGCGCGACACGTGGTTTAACAGGAACTCGACGCGAGGAGTGTACGGTCGGCATGGCGATTTTCGCTTTGGATAGACTTTGTAGTATCCACGTGGATACTACGGTTATCCACGTGGATACTACGGTAGTTAGGTGACGAGGTCAGTTGGTCGCTCCAAGCCTTGAAAGCACGATCGTGGATGAACGATAGCGAGCTCAACGGTAATGAAAGCAATGAAAGGAACAGTGACTACGACGGTGTGGACTGGAATGGTTCGTAGCGAGTGGAAGGTAATGACGCCAAGAACGCTTCTAGTTGCTCGCTGGGTCTTGGCTTCTGGCGAAACCTGGATTACCGAGCAATCGGCGTCTGGTGCTTCAAGGGGAGCATTCGTGACACCGACGTATTTTCAGTGATGCGCTCGACGGGACGTGTAGAAATGGATTCAAGTATGTAGGTAGCTGGGGAGCATGGACGGAAGCAGCAGCGGCCAAGGCACGGGTCGTAGGGAGCAAGCGGACGAGATGACTGCCTACCGAGCTTCGATGGAAGCAAAAAACGACCGAGGCTAAAAAACGATTCAAGTACGATTCAACCAAGTTCCTGCTCCTATACTTCTCGTGAATGGTCGTAAACACAGATGGGTTCCCGCTTACATCGCAAGGCAAGCCCATGTATTGCGAGTCGCTGCCGGCTGAGGCGAGCAGTGGCCTTCGCGTCGGCATGGCTAGAACGTGGAATCTAGTATAGAAGGGCGGGGGTACGGTCGAGTACAGTGTGGAGCGAAGCGCGTGCGTATGGTCGACCGACGCGTGCGGGTCAAGTAAAACAGTGGTTGATGTGTCGGGGGGTTCGTTCGTGGTGGATACGAGCAATGAAATGCAGGTTACTAAGTGCTCGACGAGGCGACCCGACATTTCTGAATGAGAAAGCTCGGACGGAACTAGTAGCGAGTCACGTGGGAGTGAACAGGGATGGGTTGAAAAGGGAGTGGAGGCCTTGCTAATGTACTAGCGGTCGCACTGGGTAGGAGAGAGGTCGCAGGAGCGAGGGTCAATGGGTCGCACGGGGGATAAGGCAGAGGGCCGGCCGGTGTGAGATCCAGAGGACGACGTATGTTCGACTTATTTTGACCAGGTGCAGTATTGATTTAGCAGGCCAGAAGGTGACTTTGCCGGCGGCGACCCCGCAGCGAGGAACCGTGCGCGACATTTCGATGATGAACGACATACACGAAAACTCGACTAAAAGGCTTGATGACATTCGGCGACCTTCGGTGGAGGAACTTTGCCGACTAGATTTTTGCTCTCTGACTAAATTACTAGAAATGCAGCAGCTCGGTGTGGTGCATTAGATTTGCGTCATCTGCCTCTAACAAGTCCTAATCGTGGGCAGCGATTTTGGTTGAGCCGCGATTCGATTGCTCTGGTGCGCGATTCGACAAAGATGTCAGCATTTCGGCGGTGTTCGTCAGGCCTCACCCTGACTCTTGTGTGGCCCTTTGCAGTTACACATCCCTCCTCGCCTCTCGTTACGATCTCGCACATCGTCAATGGGGCTGTTCTCTTGGCAACCACTCGGACAAGTACTGTATGTGTTCCACAAAACCAGCGACGGACCTCTTTTGTTGTCTGTTGGACAGATACATTACACACGTCGTCTTTGTCCTCTCTTCCCATTGGTGAATGCGATTTGAAAAGTGAGTTGGCGGGTCACCTTTGCCGCCAACTCCTTCCTAACTACCCAGAGCTCATTCTAAAAGTGAGTAACAAACCTCTGATCAATATTTTGTCTGTATTGGCTCTATGGCAGGTAGATTTATATATGTGCTAATCATCTAGGTCAGCCAGTTCATGTTTGTAAGGGCTCCCAACTCAGCACTATGCTTCAAGCAGCACGATGCAGCACAGCCTTATAAAAAAAAAATCCAAGATGGGACAGTGGAAGCAGGAGTGATCCCACTATAATAACATGCTAAAATGCTACACCCATGAGACTAACCCTCTACAATCACTCCTGCTTCCACTGCTACATCCCAACCACCCCCCTTACCCTACCCTTCTGAACCAATCAAACCCAGAGCCACTAACTGTAGGACCCAATACGACGTCTTCAAATTCCTATGGGGAGGTATTCCGTTCCAAGGGATCTCAAACGTCAGCCTCGAACCCATATCAGGCACCTCAAATTTTGCAGCTTCAGCTTCTAGTGTCGACGGGGAGGTGGGGAAGGGGCCGGAGCAGGAGCAACCTTCCTCAGTAGCAGCCTGCCAAAGAGCTCCCTTGCTGGTTCTCTCTCTCCTGCTGCCTGTGCTGTTGCTGGTACTGCTGGTACTGTTGGTACTGCCACAGGAGGGGGTGCGGGAGACTGGCCAATGCTACTGCTTCCAGTGGCGCTGCTATTAAGATTCCGTGCGGTAAATTCATTCTCGCTATAATCGTCATCACCCTCATCCTTGGTATAAGCACTCCCGCCGCTCACGGTGGTACCACTAGGAATGTAGGACTCAAATTTGCCGAGACTTTTGCTGAAAAGGGCGCTGCCACTTCCACTGCTGCTGCTGACAGTGCTGCCGCTGCCGCTGCTGCCGTCATTACTGCTGCCGCCGGTCCAGCTGTCAATGCTCCCAGTGCCAGGCTCATAAAAGCTCGGATCGTAGTATGGGTCCACAGAGGAAAAGGACGACTCGATGCCGCCCAGCGGCGAGACCGACAGGGGCGGCAGAGACGAGGTGCTGGCAGAACAAGCACTGTAGATTGGATCGGGGGGAGAGGGGAGGGGGAAGGGGAAGGGTGGGGAGGAAGGGTTTGGACAGAACAAGGACAAGAGGTATGAAAGGGGGAAAGTGGGGGGAGAAGGGGAAGCGGAAGGGCATGCACACGAGGAGGGGGAGGGGGAGCGAGGGGGAGGGGGAGCGAGGACTGACTACTTACGAGTCTGAGGAGCAAGCAGTGCTGACGCCTTGATCCAAATCCATCACAGCCAGGCCCCTGCCGCTGCTGCTCGCCCCAATATCCAGCTGCAGTCTCGCCTTCCCTCCGCCACACGCGTACTCCTTATAAACTCTCGTCGCATCCACCGAAGAGCACGGCACTGTAGGCACATTCGCTGTCCATTTGCTACTCGAATTCGGCGAGTCGATGATTAGGGTAACCGCACCGGTACACCCCTGCCAATCGAAAACCACCAGCTGCATTTTACTCGGGTAAAAGTTGCTGTTCGTATCTGACGGGACCACCTCTATCCGGTAAGTGTACCCAGCTAAAAGCGACGCGGTCAAGAACCGAGTCTTTTTGCCCGGGCCCGCCGGACCGGCATTCGGATCATCATTTTCCGTTCCGTACGTGTAAAACACCGTTCCATCATCCGTTCGGGTGATTTTCAAATAGGAGTAAGGCCGGCTGACAGCACTTGGGTTAGCTGCCGTCCCCTTCGATCCAACTCCGGATTCATCATATTGAAGCGCGACCGACCGATAGCAGACGGAGGTGCATGCATAGGCCGAAAAGGCGCTCTGGAAGCTGCACTTCGCCGCCCGGACTGCGGCGGGCGGCAGGATCGGATCGTAGTTGGCAACGGCGTAGCCTGATTGGCCGAGGAGGGATCCGTCGAGATCCCGGATGGCGTAAAAGCGCGCCACCAGACCCCCCCGGGGCGGTGGGCCGGAGGACTGGGGGGGAGAGGAGGGAAGGGGAGAGAGAAAGTTGACAAATTTAGGAAAAGTGCGAGGCGTTTTTTTTTTTTTTTTTTTCCCTCCATAGTTTCAAAAAACCCAGAGTTCGGATAGAGGAGAAATGGCATACAGACAGCAATTAAGAAGTTGTAGGGGTGGAAAAGGAAAAAAGGGAAGGGGAGGAAGAGTGGTGGGAGGAGTGGGGAATCAGGATGGCGATGAAATGAACCCATTGAAATGGGAAAGAGCAACTCACTGGATTGGGTGTGGCCCAGAACTTCTTAGTCCCTGCCCCAAACGAGAGACCCTGCAGGAAGAGAAGAGGGGTGGACAAGGAACGAGAGGAGAGGCCATGTGAGGGGAGGAGGGTGTAAGGGGCGTGTTGCTCCTCCTTACATCTTCACATATATGCGATGGGTATATGGAAGTGAGAACTGAAGAACGTAGTTCTGAGAACAATAATCAGCAAGAGAGAGAGGGCCGATCAACAAGAGTGGGAATCAGAATATGATTGACTGTAACAAACAGCAATCTAACAAGCGTGGCAGTAGGAAACAGCTACATTAACAAGAATGACTGTAACGAGCAGTACCTTAACGAACATGGCAGTGTTCCAGTATCCGCCCGCCTTGTTTGCCACAAGAGCGATGCCAAAGCTGCTGCTGCTGCACGTGCCAAAGCGGTGGAACCTGGGGAAGAGAGGGAGGGGAAAGGAGGGGAGGTACAAAACATTCAGCACCCTACAATGAGTACAAACTGATCAATGAGGTGTCGTGTATGGCGTTGGGGTACAGGTTATATCCAAGGGTTTCTCTGACTCGGTATGACTACAAGCATACCTTACAACAAGTAGCGGGGTACTTCATAACAAACAATGGAGTACCTAATAACGAGTACCAGCAGACTTACGAGGAGTCTTGTATGCCATTCGGAAAGAGGTTGTCCCCCGGGTTGCTCTGACTCAGCGTGATCCCCACGGGCACCTCAAACGTCCCCACCTTCTCGTTCAGTGCCACCATCGGGTCAACACCCCCATCCACCGGATCTTGAAATGCCTTGTTATAAGGGTCCTTCTTATTGGTATAAGCTGGAGCTGAGTAGCTTCCATTATTGCCGCTGCTGGCCAAAGGATCGAAATAGGGGTCGAGGGGGCCTAGGGAGGCTTGCAGAGTGAAGGGCTCCCACAGAGTGGTGGGGCCGGCTGGGACGTCAGGGTCTGCTGCTGTGTCAGCAAGAGTCGTTACGCCCTTGGAGGAGGACGCCCTGTGCAGGGGGGGGGGGGGGGAGGGGGGAGGGCCCGGAAGGGGAAGGAGGGGGAAGGAGCAAGTAAGGGATGAGTTTGATGTATCAGGGGAGAGACTAGGGATTGAAAGAAAACGTGAACGGTCGGAGTGACAATCAGCAGGGTGTAGAGTGAAGGGGAAGGACTCACAGGCAGGCAGAGGAGGAGCACTCACGGGCAGGCGGAGGAGCGGCCGATGAAGCGGCAGCCCTTGGCTTGCACACCGGCGTTGCGGCTCAAGTCGATGCCGATTCCATTGTCCAGAAACACCCCGTTCTCCACTATCAGGCGCTCGCTGTTGAAAAAGAAAATGCTGCAGAAACGGGGAACAACAAGAAAAGGAAAATCGTGGCATGAGGGAGTAGCATGATGTGAGACTGGCAGGATGCTGGATAAGCAAAAACGGAAGGTGAGGGGAAAGAAAGGTGTTAACTCACCCTGCCTTGTTGCGGTAAATGAGGAAGTTCTTAAGGGAGACGCGGGGATTCTGGGTGGTTGACGGGTATCGGGGCCGCGACCCGTGGGGGTAGGTGCGGAATCCAAAGAGGTTGGAGTGGGCGTGGTTTCCATCCCACGTGCCCCAGTTGTAATAGAACGGTATTGTCGACCCAATCTGTGGCAGCAGCCGCGACAACCCACGCATGTATGGGTTCGCCTCCAGCCAGAATCTGTTGAACAACGCATGAAAAGAAGGTGGGGAGGGAGAAGATGTAGGAAAAATAGGAGTTTGGAAAATAATTAGAAGGTTGGGGAAGTTAATAGGGAGGGCTTCCTGACCAGCAAAACAGAAACAAGGGGTGGGGGACTTGGGCAAGAGACACACTGAGAGAGTGGGGGAGGGGGGAAATGAGTGGGGGAGGAGGATTAGATGGTAGCGAGAAGAGAAAGGAATGGAGAAGGGGAGCAGAGGGGGAAGGGGAGCAGAGGGGGAAGGGGAGCAGAGAGGGTAAGGGAGAAGAGAGGGGGAAGCGGAGCACAGAGGGGAAAGGGGAGCAGAGAGGGGGGAGGGGAGCAGAGAGGGGGAAGAGGAAGGTTTGAGGGGGAGAAAGGGAGCAGAGACAGTGAAGGGGAGAGGAGTGGGGGGGAGGGAAGGAGAGGGGAGCGGGGAGGGGACGGGAGGCTCACCCGGAATCTTCTGAGCCGGCGGCAACATTGTCAATGAAGCTGCTGAAGGGCGTCGCGAGCCAGAAAATCGTCGGCTGCTTATCGGTTTGGAAATCCAACCGGCTGGAACTTGCCGGCGGGATGACTTGGGTAACTTTCCTCGCGTTGATCCCAAGGTTTCGCCTAAACACGTTTCGCATTTCCGACCCCTCCTCCAGCAGGTAGCAGTGGCCCTTGGTTTCGTACGAGACGTTTTCTTCAATCGTCATGTTACCCGTCGCGTGAATCACCATGCACCGCTGCTTCGTGAAAACGATGGCGTTTTTTCGCACTATGTGATTCTGCCCCTCCTGCCCGCACACGTGGAAATGCAGGGGGTATTTACCCAGCGTGCCCTGCTTCCCTAGGGCACGGAATTGCACGCCCACGATTTCTTGGGCTGTAGGAGTCATATAAACCATGAAGTTGCCACCTGCAAAAAGCGGATTAGGCGGTAGAAAGAGGAAAGCGGGAAGTACAGTAAACGTCAGTTACACCGAAATAGCGATTCCCTGGAGGACCCTCCTAGACGACGATAACAACTTGAACCATAGGGTCTAAAAGAACCGCATTGCCCTGGACCGAGATAAAGTTTTTTCTCATCGCGTAGAAAGAGAGAGACAATACATCGGCCTCTCACCGTCGTATTGATGCGGCGCGGGCTCGTTACTTCCGGTGATAACGATATGCCGATCCAACAAAGCGACCTCTCCATAGATCCCCACCGTCCCTCCCACTCCGTCCGAGATCTCCTCGCCGTCGTGCCGCTTCTTTAGCGGCGTCTTTAGATTAATCCGGTACCGCCCGTCGCTCTTTCCTGGTCCCGACGCAGGCGTGACGACGGAAACGGACGCGATGACGTGGTGCTCCGCGTCGTTGAGATCCGCTGACGTGGAGGCCAGCGCGATCGTCATCCCCGGTGCCCACCGCGTCACGTCCGTGTCCACGTAGATTGCCCGCGCCCCCGGGTTGGCAGTCTCGGTAAGGTGCACCCACGACGGCGTGTTGCTGCCGCCCGGCATCCCGTAGAGCGCCACCTGCCCGCCGACCTGCACGGATGAGGGGGGGAAACGGGTGGGTGAGGAAAGGGGGGTGGGATGACGCGGAGGGGGGGAGCAAAGGGGAAAGTACGGGAGAATTGGAAGGTGAGAGGGACAGGGAGGGGGAAGGGTTGCGGTGCGGTGCGAGTAAAACTGGATTCGGAAAATTGGAAAAGAAAACAGCGTAATTGATTGCTTACCACGGCGAACGTCTTGTGCCCCAAGTCGCGCGGATTGCCCTTATCCGCAGGGCTTTGGTATTTTAGCTGATACGGCTTGCGGCCTCCCATGAAGTTTTGGAACAGCGTGAACGTCACGCGGCCCGCGAAGTGCTTATCCGGCTCGCCCGCCGTGAGCCGCCCGAATACCATAATGTAGTTCGCGCGCACGTGGATCTTCGGGAGCTTCGGGGAGTCGAGAACCCTACGAAGTGGGGAAGGGGGCAGAGGAGAATATAGAAAGAGAGAGAGGGCGACGGGAGGGTGAGCATCTGCCTGTTCGACTCGACAGTACGTCACCCGCCGTCAGCCGCCCGAACATCATGACGTAGGTCAAGCGCGCTCGCATTACAGGGACTTTCGGGGAGTTGAGAACCCTAAGAAGTGAGGGAGGAGGGGGGAAGAGGGGGGAGGAGGGATGGTGGGGGTGAGGGAGGCGGGAGGGTGGGGAGATGGAGGTCGGATGGTGAGGGGGAAGCGAGCTGGCGGAAAGGGGAGTGGCCAACGGATGCGAACAAGTGAAGCTTGGGAAAACGGAAGCGTCGAAACGCCTAGAGCGAAATACAGTAGAATGAAAACACCGATTTTACCCTCGAGGGGAGCAGAGAAGGAGTGTTTAAGCATCGTCTGTTGCTAATCCTACCCACTAACCTATTTACTCACTTTAGCCATCCTTTGACGCGCAGTCGTCGCACGCTTATATCGGGTACATCCAGGAGCACCGCCACGCCGCACGGAATTGTGACGTCAGCCCATCGCTGCAGCCCGCGACCCGGCACTCCTAAGATGCGCGCTTTACTTCCCCACGTTCTCCAGTCGCTCCACCGTTTAAAGCCACCGGCAGGCGGCTCGGACATAAGCGTTCCGCACGCAGGGCTGTACGCGTCTGTGGCTCGGAACGCCGTGGCGCGGACTAACGACACGTGGCTGCTTGCTAAGAGGGCGATGAGCGCCGCGACGAGGAAAGGGGAGAACGAGGGCGCGACACGCGGTCTAGCAGGAACTAAGGAACGACGCGACGAGGGTACTACGGCTGACATGGCGATACCTGAGGTGAATACGGTGGATATCAAGTCTTCGTGGAACCTGCGTGGTTCAAAAGCGTATACTATACGACACTGGTTTAGGCGACACGGTCAGATGGTCGCCCCCAAGTCTTGAAAGCAAAGAGTCGTGCGTAGCAGTAGTGAATGGAACGGAGCAGTGGTGACTTTATCGGTAGTGATAGGAACGGTGGCGTTTGCTATGGTAGCGATTGGTACGGTGTAGTGGGTTGAAATTGTCGTGGGAAGCGAGTTAAAAGGTAATGACGCGGAATCGCTCTAACAGTGCGTGTTTGTTCTGAGATGGATCAACGAAGGCGATTATTGGTAATACCGTTCAAGTTCCAGCTGATAGTAGCTTGACGAGTAGAGCTCAACGTGATAGTATGTAAACGTTGGCCAGAACCAGGAGAAGCAGCAGTGCCCAGGACACTTCACACGACCCACGGGTCGAAGGGAGCAAGCAGACGAGATGACAGCCTGCCGAGTTTCGATCAAGGCTAAAAATAACGACTTGGAAACTCTGCTGTAAACTAGAACAAGGCGTTGCAGGCAAACAGAGGGTTTGCTCCGCGTACTAGACCTCCCGCTAACTGTCGTAACCACAGATGAACTTCATCGCGGGACAAGCTGATGCCCTGCCTATGCACAATGCGAGTGGGCGGCGGAGCAGAGACCTTAGCGTCAGCAATGCAAGAACGTGGAATCTAGGTTGACGGAGGTATGGATGGATGGACTGTACAGGATGGTGCGAAGCGACGAGTGCGGGTCAAGTAAACGGTGATGGGTGATGTGTCGGGGGGTTCGTGGAGGTACAGCAGTGAACGATGGTTACAGTGAACGGACGGCGCGATGGTGTGCCTGAGCGGGAACTGGTGGTGAGTGACTGGGGAGGGAATTCAAGAAACAAGATGGCGTGAGAGGAGGCAGTGGAGTGATTTGGAGTGAACTAGCAGTCGCACAGAGAGGAGAGGGTAGGAGAAGGGAGCTCTGAGAGGGTTAACGGGTCGCCCAGGCGACAAGGTGGAGGGCCGTTATGAAGACAGCAGGAGAACGCGTGGTTGGGCGAATGCTGGCGATGTCGCTAGAGGTATGTTGTAACCATAAAAGTATGGCTGGGCGACAGGAAGCTGCAGATGGATGGAAATTGGTCGGAGGGAATGGAGGGGAGGAATGAGGTTTGGGGCAAGGGGGTTGATGTATGTGCGACGCGTTTTGACCAGGCACTTTACAGATGGCGCAGGCTGCAAGCTGACTTGCTGGCGATTCTACAACGCGGCACCGTGCGGAACATTGCGACGATGAACGACCTACCCGAAGCTGAATTACAGGCATTGATTGGTAGAAGACGATACAATCCATGTGCGCTGAAGTAACTCGCCGACAATAAGTGTCGCACACAGATCGTGGGCGGCGCCATCGGTTTTCCGTCAACAACTGGAGCCGCGAGATGAATGTTCAGTTGCGCGATTCGACCCACTCTGTTCACCATCAATTCACCGAAGGGCAGGAAACATTCTGTGTTCGTGACACACCTGACTGTCGCGTGCTTTTGCAACTGACACACATTCCAATTTGTCCCGCACACAACTGCCCACACGTTTGTTCATAGTCAACACAAACACACACAAAATGGCTGTTCCATATTTTGCAACTCTTGGGCAGCTTTGCTCAAAGGGTGGGGCAGCCGCGCACGGAAGTACTGTTCTGTACAGAACCGTATTCCACGAAACCAGCCCAGTATCCTGCTACGCGACGGACCTTCCTGCGACTGCTGTACAGATACATTACAGAAGTCGGCGCTGTCCCCTCTTTCCATTGGTGAGGTGCGATGTGAGAAAGTTGGCGGTTCACCATTGCCGCCAATGCCCTTCCAACTGTGAAACATCATCTCTCGTAAAATAAAATGTTAAATAATAAGAAATACACATAAGCACATTGCACTTAGGATTATGCTCTGATTTGCAAATTATTCTAACTCTTATCATCGATAGCTTCTACGTCAAAACTTGCTGTTCATACTATCAGCTCTTACAAACTGCAATAGAAACCCCTGTTGCTCGGGCGACAAGTTGGAGGGCCGTTATGAAACCATGTTGCTCCGTTATTTGTACAACATGATGTGCATCCTATTGGAGGGGAAGACATCGATATAAACCGTTTTTCTGCCCGCAACCCACCGTAGTTGATTTGGTGCACCCTTTCGAGTGAGCTGCATGTCCACGAGAGGCTGAGGGTGGGTATTATAAGACTACCATAGACGAGGATGTAGAAGCGATTCGAGCTAGAGTGAGCTAGGAGAGAGGCGTGAGTAGAGGACGGGTAGAAGAAGATGACGGCAAGGGTAGTGTGCATGACGCATACCGTGAATGGGTCGCCGAAGGCTCCACTGGGTCTCAGGAGGGAAGGTCCTAGTGAATGGCGAATGAAGATATGCTCGTGCAGGTTGCCCTTGAGAAAGGCAGCCGAGGAGCCAATAGGAGGAAGCCTGTAATCGCGCTGTGCCGCCATGTGCAGCAAGACCCGAATAATATTAATATTCGAAGTGGAGGAGAAGGACTAAAATAAGTCCACTCCCTCTCGCTAAGCGAAGCCTATAGCCATGTAGCACGCCTTGAAGAAAAGCGACTCTCCACCGCTTCACCTTGAACATACATATCTCATCAACTACGTTCGTCCCGGCAAGGGGAGCTGTGTCGACACAAGTGCATATAGACCTCTAAGATGCTATCTCCATTTTCATGGCCACTATCTAATGGAAGGATCAGGTTCTCGAAACTACCCCAGGGTAGGTGCGAGGGGCCGGGAGGTCAAGGACATGTGGTTCACCCTAATGGTCTAATATAATGGCGCAGCGATGAGGAGCAGCGGCCGCAAGGAAAGCCAGCTCGAATTGCCTATCATCTAAGACCTTACTGCCAAGGGCGGGAGCACCACTGACGAACGGAAGACAGGCAGGAGCAGAGACCAAACTAGTGTCGTAGTCAAGGCGGCTGGTGGAGGCGAAGTCAGCGTCAGCAGCGACAACAACAAAGTAAAACGAAGAAGAATTATTGTTGACCGGTGTTGGCCCGCCCTCGTTTGGGCGAAACCGACTTTGTGGTCGGGTGCGCGGGAGGTGCAGCCGATAGACCACAGTGATCGAAGACGGCCTGGGCGAGTAGGTCGATGAAGTTTGTCGACCTGCATGGGACCACTGCAACGCCGACGACGACGGGAAAACGGCGGCCGGCTTCGACTGAAATGGTCGACGAAGGAGTTCGTCGACCTGCGGGAACACCGACTTGGTGAAGTCGGCGAGGGGCATTTACCTGCGCGGTAGACAATCACGTACATCAGTTAGTGGGCTCCTACCACCCAATTTGGCGCCGACTTGGCGGTTTCCCGGTTGAACAATTTACCCAGGTGACGAGGTTTTGCGTGGGTGCGCGACGAGGATAGCATAAAAACACTCGTTCACCATCTCCGCCTGCAAGAAGGCACCCGCTAGGCCAGCGATAGGAAGCGTCTAATAGCAAGGTGCGCGGCAGCATCACACACCTCCCAAGTGTGCGCTCTAGTCGGACCACGCGATGAGCCTCCTACTACGGCGATGTGGCGTTGGCATTAAGATCAGTAGGATGTGGTAGTTCACTCGAAGCGTGGGTGTACAGAGGTGTCAAAAGAATGAACGAGAATGAATGAACTATGAAAGAGTTGGGTACAAGTACTAACCCTAATTGGGTTGTACCCCTTATGGGCTACCCCACTATAGCCTACACAAAGTAAGCAATACAACATTCTGACACACCCCCATAGGCAAAGTGGGGGAGAACAAGTGGTCACAAGACCAGTCAAGAAAAGCAAAGCAAGCTCAGGGTGGATCACAAAGTCACTACACAGTCCGAGCACAAGCAAAGGGCATCAAGGCCAGTTCACATGCAGAGTTATATAAAGAGCACAAACAGTACAATGATCATAGCCTAGCAAGTGTAAGCATGCAGGTATATATATAGATCACACTACAAGCAAAGTCACGCAGTCAGCAAGTGAGGCAAAGTAGGCACAAGGCCTAATAGAGTAGGGAAGCGCTGATGATCACCAGGCGGAAAAGCCTTGTTGGCCCTAGTGGCCACGTACGCAAGACGAAGCTGGCCAAACTGCTGCAACTCTCGAGCAAGGAAGTATCGCAGAGCGATGTGCTTCGTTCTGTGCTCCAGTCTGTGCTCCCGACACAAGGCAATCATGGCCTTGTTGTCTACGTACAGAACTGGAGGCGAACGAGGCTGCTCTCCCAAGTCAGTCAGCGGGTACGTGAGCCAGCGTAGCTCCTGTGCAGCCATGGCCCCTGCATAAATCTCAGCCTCACAACTTAAGCTGAGAACCGAAGACGAGCAGGTGGGCCGCCAGGAAACAGAGCCGGAACCGAGGCCGAAGGTGTAACCCTGTGACGACCGCTGCGTAGCTGAGTCGTCAACCCAAGAAGCGTCTGCGTGACCAGTGAGGACAATTGGACCCCATCCTCCAAGCACGACCCCCATGCCCGACGTACTGCACAAGTAGCGCAGTACCCTCTTTGCAGCATCCCAGGGCAGCTTTCGG